TTAAAATAATTTGGTATCTTTAAGGTAACTTCAGCCATGCTGTTTGCTGTCTGAACTGGATTCCTGCCTTCTCAGTAGGTGGAGTGCTGTGCCCTGAAGGGTGGGAGAGGAGCTGGGTGGAATAGATAGGAATTCTAGTGTGACAGCCCAGAGATGCCCTGGGGCTGCTCCAGTGGTCACAGAGAGCTCAGCTCTGTTTGCTGATGGGGAGGAGTGCAGTAAGGTGCCTGATCCTCTGGCATGTTTTGTCTTTTCTTCAGGCCGTTGTTAAGTATCTGAAATCAGTGCTGTACACTGAGATTATTTTTAATTAACAATTACTTTAGTAATTGACAATGGAAAGATGACAAATTATAATCCCAAACCTGCTTTCATTGGCAGAGAGTCCATGTTTCCCAGAAACAAAGGCTTGAAGGAATAGCGGCGTTCCCTTTGCCTTTGCTCTTGCAATGTGTGATGATTTCTGTGTCGGGGCCTCCAGCTTTTCTCACATTTCCTCAGTAACTTGAATATCTGAACGGATGAATCTCCTCACCTCTGCATTCCCCCAGAGGCTGTCTCATTCTCTCACTGTGATATCTTCTTTTTTTCTTTCCCCCTTCCCTTGGCAGACCTGCATGGGCAAAGACGTAACTCTTCACGTCTCTGCAAGCAACCCTGCTATGCTGCTCTACCAGAAGTTTGGATTTAAGACTGAGGAATACATTTTGGATTTTTATGATAAATATTACCCCTTGGACAGCAAGGAGTGTAAGCATGCATTCTTTCTCAGGCTGCGGCGCTAATCTGTCAGAGCTGTCTGGGGATCTCTGAAAAGCCCAATCTGTCAAAAAAACTACCACAGCTTTCAGTGCAGGATGTTGGCTGTCACATGAGAGCTGGAACACACCAGTGGATTTCAACAGTGCTATGTTGTGTGCTAAAACTGCAATCCAAGAGGATTGATTCCTGTGCTCCAAGGGCAGAGGCCTGAAAATGCCAGCTGGGATATGCTGAAACCACTGGAAGACTGAAATTGTTTACGGGGAATTTTCCTGGCACTGTTACTTTGAAGAGCCTCATTGACAAACAAGCAAAAAAATATTTGTCACTTCAGAGGAGCCCCATGAATTTCAAATCTTGAAACCTGTCAAAAAAATGCTGCAGGTTTTTAATTTCATTTTTTGTTTATGAATGAAAATGAACCTCTAAAGTTAAATCATTCAATGTTTCTGTAATTTGATTGCTTTGCTAGGAACCATGTCTTGAGTCTGTGAAGAGAAATGAGATATTGGTGCACGTAGCTGGGCAGTAACTTTAGGAAAGCTCTACACATGCCAGAACAATAGTACTGGAACCATGTTTTAGGAATAGTAAAGAGTGTGTGAATTCATGTGATTCCAAATAAAAGGCTCAGAGAAGACACCTTTCTTCTCCTCCTTCTCTGCTGCCTTCCTTTCGCCTTGTTGACCCTGTGCTCAAGTGTGAAGTTCTTGCAGTGCACAGTATTTTGTGTTTAGGAACAAGGTGTCATGTGGGTTTGTATCTAGGCAAGATAGGATACCATACCTGCCAAATCAGCCCTTTGAAATCTTACAACCTTTCTGCCATTGTTGGTGCTGACACAGTTGTTGGCACACCTCTAACCATAGAGCTGGCCTTGAAGGCTCCAGCATCCACCTCCTCCTGCTACAGGCACTCTGGATAGAAGAAACTCAGAAAAGTGTGTGGTGATGTTTGAAATGCAGGCTGATTTGTAGAAGCAATCTGCTTGCAGTTTGGAGGGAAGAGAATGTTAGAGGTAGGCCAGATCCAGTTCTTGGAAGCACCAAGCTGTCATTTCATGGTTCTAAGTATAAGTAAAAAGGAGAGCAGAGAATAAATAGAAATAACCAAGAACGAAAGAAAATACAAACTCCAAATGGTTTCTCTGGTAGTGGGCTCTTTTCCTTTTATGCAGTTTAGTGGCTTCTCTCTCCCTGACTTTCACTGCAGATGAACAGAAAGCAGCACTGACGAAAGGTCAGTCTATGCATTTTAACTACGGATCACATCCACAGTGATGTTCCTTTCACATCAAGCCCACAAAGAACTACACACCAAATGTGACTTCTTTGTTCTTAATCCACTGTGTGTACCTGTTGGCTACCTGGCCACAGTAGAAGTTGCCTTAACAGTCTTCATTTTGGTAACAGAAGAGAAAGGGACACAAAGTATGTTTTTGTGTAGTCAACGTATATCATCACCAACACAAAAACAGTGGTAGTGGGAGGGAAAAACGGGCCATCCAAGGGTTGTGTGCCCTAACATTCTTGCACATTTCTGCCTGCTTTATGACTGTGAAAATTTTTGATGTTACTTATGTTACAAGTTAGCGGTACTTGGAAAGAAAAAAAAAACCTGTCTTTATGAATGAATTAAAGCCCTTCCCTTGGAAAAGCCTACCTGTAGTTGTACTGTTTGTTAAGCTGTCTCTCCATCATATTTCATTGAAATCTAGCAAACTCAAATATGGCCGACAGAGGATGTGTGTGGGCAGCTGACCCAGGCAAGAAACTCCTTATTTCCCCACTGGACACCTGCACAGAAGCCACACCCATGCAGGCCTTAGCAGACTGTCCCTTTCCAGCCAGAATTGGGAGATACAGGATAGTCTGAAGAAGATGACCAGTTCTGCATTGCGTTCTCAAAGGTGACCAGGAAGATTTTGAGCACCTGCTTGCTCTGTGCCTATATCTCTCTGGCTTTGTCCCTCAGAGGGAGAATGCCAAGTGAAGAGGGTGTTATAACAGACCTGGGATACCTGCTGTGCTGCAAACAGCTTGTCTTATCCAGGTGCTTCATTTACTCCCAGATCCTGAAAGGCAATTAAGTGATTAAATGCCTTTGAGCCTTTGCACCTCAGCTGCTTTCCTTTTTCAGGAAGACTGGTAAGAATGAGCTCAGTAAAGCTTACAGGGAATGGAGATCGGTATTGCTATTTTGCTTGTTTCTTAATAATTTGCCCATATTTCTGGGAAAATTAGTTAGTTAACAGCTATACTTATTATATCCCACACTCTCAGGACTGGGAGATTAAGTGTTACCTTCTGTGCTTTTATAGACTGCACACCCTGTTCATTCGTGCTGCCTGTGAAAATGTGGTGTGCCTTTGAATTGCTTACTATGAGATCCTTCCCTGATGATCCTAATGGCTTTGGTGGGTACAAGTGTGGCTGACTCAAGCATCACTTCACTGATAGGGTAAAGGTGAACAGCCATGACCCAAGAACTTTCTGACTTGCAAAGAGATCCCAGCAAATCAGATCTGAAAACCAGTGGTGAAAACTGCAGTATTCGTGTGTTATTTTCTCTTGGCAACTCAAGCTGTAGGAAACATTTGCTTTTATTCTACTGGCTGTAGGGGTGAGCACGGAGGTACTGTTGGGTGAGCAGGAATTCACCCCCGCTTTCAGCAAGAGTCCCAAGGACAGGAGGCTGAGGCCAGCATCCTGACAGGCACTGTGTGAAGTCAGGTGTGCAATCTGATAACCTGGGGAAATGCACCAGGGCTGCCAGGGAGCTCTACTTGTCTTCACTAGGTCAGCGCCAGAACTTGGCAGCCTTTGAAGTAGCTATAAAATAGCTGCTGCAGCTCAATCTCTCTTTTGTGGCTGCACAGGGATCACTTCAAGGGTCCTCTCAAGATAATGTTTCCTCCCCATAATGTTGAATAATGAGAAGTTTAAAGGCCAGTGCTTGAATGGGCATGGATTTCTCTGCAAGGAATGAGGCTCCTAGCCCTCCAATTCCCTCTTTCTGCCTTGGAAACCAGGGTGATTTGTTACCTTAGCTGTGATTAAAGAGCCATCATCCACCCTGCTTTATGATACGACTACTCTGCGCTTCCCTGATCTGTGCAGTGACTGTAGCAGCGATTAGAGTTGACAAACACAGCTCAGTTTAACAGAACAAAATTTTCCTGGAGGATGAAGGTGGAACCTCACTTGCTCAAAAAAGTGCAGAAAAGCCCATGCACTTCCATGGCCTTGTCTGAGCTTTGATACTTCACAACCAGGAAGCAGCCTGCTGTAGTCACCTTATTGTGCCCATTCATCTGCTATAGCTGAGCTGGGTAAATACTCAGATCATTCTGCATAGTAGTCATTAATTTTGTTGAAGTAATACTTTGCAGTTTACTTTGAAAGAGAAGTCCTGAGTGTCCTGACGTTGCACAAGTGTCAAATGCTTCTTTTCAGACTTCAGATCCAGACTGGGGGCTGAAACAAAAGTCTGCTTGGTCCATTCATTGCCACCTATAGTGTGAGGATGTGCTGCTTTGCAGACCCACCTGCTTGTGATTATAAGCTCTTCGTGAGTGGTTGAGCTAAGCCATCTTTATCACTTGTCTCTGCCAACCTGGTCCACAGAGTTGCTTCCCTCTAGCCCTTGCGTTCTTTCTGGAGGAGACACTGAGCAAACACTGCCTGCTGCATCACACAGCTCAGGAATCTTGAGCTCCCGCTGCTGTGACGGATGAGTAGCCAGGTCGTCCCTGCAAAACCAGCGAGACAAGAGTGCTTCGTCCTGCTTTCTTCTCCAGACAGGCAGCGTTAGCCAGGCAGGGACAGTGAGCTCAGCCGCTCCCGCTGCCCGCGGGAGTGGAAAGGCGGATGCCTGGGGCCAGGAACAAGCAGCCACTGTCGCGGAGGAGCGGGAGCATCCCTGAGCGGGCTTTGCCTCAACAGGAGGGTTGAGGAAAGAGAGTTTCCTGTTGAGGAAGCTGTGCTTCTCTACCAGCTCTGTCAGCACAAAAACCCATGGCACCTTCCTAGGAGTGTAATTAAAAAAAAAAAAAAAAAATCGATCTGGCAAACTTATCCTTCTTCCCCTTGGATTTGTGCTGGGGGCTTTAAAAACCCCACAGAAAACAAAACATTCTTTTTCCTCCTGGCTCATGCTCTCGGACTCTTCGGAATTTCCAAGGCTGCCGCTGGCGCTGGAGGGCGGCAGAACCGCCCCGCTCCCGCCCTGCTCCGCGCCCGCCGCCGTTTGAACAGGGACATGGCGGCCGGCGCGGGGCAGGCGGTGCTGCCCGAGGAATGGCGGCTGTACCTCGTCTCCTCCCGAGTCGCCACCTTCCGCAACTGGCCCTTCACCGAGGGCTGCGCCTGCACGCCCGAGCGGGTGAGCCGGGAGCGGGAGCGCGGGGCCGAGGGAGCGGGGCGGGCAGGCGCTGACGGGACCTTCCCGCCTTCCTTGTGCCCGCAGATGGCGGCAGCGGGTTTCGTGCACTGCCCCAGCGAGAACAGCCCCGACGTGGCGCAGTGCTTCTTCTGCCTCAAGGAGCTGGAGGGGTGGGAGCCCGACGACGATCCCCTGTGAGTACGGGGTGGTTTCCCTGGCCCCCTCTCCGATCGGCGCCGCTCCCGATGGCGGCGCCGCTCCGGCAGCGGGAAGCGCTGCTGGCAACCGAGGTGCTCGGCAGGGGAGAACAGCTGCGTGTGGCTTGTTGGGAGCTACTGTCTTCTATTTTCTCTTTCCCCCCCCCCCGTCTTTTCAGGGAGGAACACAAAAAGCACTCTGCGGGCTGTGGTTTTCTTTCCCTTCCAAAAGAGCCTGCTAACCTGACACTACAGGAGTTCCTGAAGCTGGACAAAATGCGAATAATAAAGGCAATTGTACGTACACAGCGTACACAGAGACCGTAATGTATCTCTAACCCCCTGTAATGTTGGAAGAGTTACTTAGTTTCTAGTCTTGGGATTGTTTAGCTGGACTCCTTGTTCCTTATCACTGCGTTGCCAAAGTGCTTTGTTGCCCCCAGACTGGGGCTGGATGAGGTGGACCATTCCTGGTCCTCAGTCTCTGCTCTGTGCGAGACGTAGCCTGATTTCCCCTTGAAGCTCGACGATACTAAGTCTTCTACTTAGTAGTAGGCAGTAATGTACTATTTTCACTTTCTGCAGAAAAAAGAGATTTCTCAGAAGATGACCGAGGTTGAAGATGCAGCCAAGAGCACACGTTCTAAAATAAAGAATCTGGCCTAGACTGCTGCAGCTTCACACTTGCTAGTGACATCTTTCTTGTAAATGTACTGTGGCACTGCCACTGTGCCTGAATGGCTGTGTTTCCCAAGGCTGCTTCCAGACTTGAGAAGCAGGCTGAATTCTGCTTCACTCACCTGAGTCTGTCTAGGAAGTACCTGTGGTTTGATATATTGCATACATAATCTTTCTCTGCACGGATTCTCCTAATCTTTCTGTTGGTTTTATTAAGGATTACTACTTGTAGGTTTACTTGTTCTCTTTTTTCTTTTTTTGAAACCCAGCTGTTTAGAGATATTGCTGTATTGTAGAGATCCTGGTAGCTCTGGTGTTAAAACATATTTCTGGCAAGAATTGACAGGCATTTCCATTTTTGTACTGGATATACCAATGCTTTAGGATACTTTGGGACATGAAAAGGGGAAGGATTTTTAAAAATCCTTCAGGGATTTAGGATTGTGGCTAATAACATTGCTGTTCTGCCTTCAACTTTTATCTATACATAGATCAACACGAGGCAGCAGCCAACTACAAGTAGAAGTTTACAAGGATACCAGGCACACTAAGCTTTGGTATAATTCAAAGTAGTTTTACTCGATTTTCTGGAGGAAAGGAATCTGACCTTCAATGCAATGGGCTGCACTGAATGCAGTTTTAACATCAAAAGGGAAAATAAGATCATCAGCCTCAGTGCTGTTGCCCAAGTGTCAAACTTTTTTAAGCAGCATTCATTAGGCATTAAAGACATTTCAAAGACATTCAAATTTATTTGTGCCTGGGAAGGTTTGGTTTGTCCCTTTCCTTGCACAAGTTTGGAAAGGAAAAGAAATTTGCAAAACAGAGTGAAGTCAGTCAGAAACTGCTCTGACCTGCTGGAAAGGAATGGGGGGAATCTTGGAGAAAATATTTGACTGTTACAGGGCCCAATCTGATTGTACAGGGTTGTGAATTTTGTGACAGAACTGAACACACATGATTACATGCTCCCAAAGTCAAGGAACCTCCAGCTCTATTTTGGGAAAAAGGTTGTTGTAGTAACACGTTGACGACACCAATGCTCCTGAGTTTCATAAGTTTGTTCACTGTTCTCTGTCCAACCTTACTTGGAACAATGAAATAACCTCATTATTTCCAGTTGTAACAGCCAAATCATATGCTGATTGCCCTTCTGCGTTCTTCTTTTGTATGTTTGCATTGCAGCTGTAAATAAAGAACAAATTGGTTTCAAATACTTAAATTCATTTCAAGTTACTGGACTTTGTGAAGTGGCTTGTAGGTAAATGTTGATGCGGAGTAACTTCAGAATTTCTGCACTTCCTGCAGGGACAGTGATAAGACCACTGAGCCTTGGACAGGCTCTGGCCCTTCAGTAGTGCCAATTAGGTCTGTGCAGGCAGGCTGTGGGTAGCCTGCAGCTGAGCTAGAAGCCCAGCTACAGTACATACCGTAACAGGACTCGGATGCTCTCCTGTCCCTCCAATCCAAGCAGAACTGCCTCATGGAGAGCTGTGTTGTTGTGCCTGCATAGGAGGAAAGAACAATGTACTTATTACCAAAGGAAACTATCCCAGTACACGTCTTAGCATATAAAACTAAGGAAAATTAATAGGATACAGAATACGCTAGAAGTGTGGTGGGCTTTAGTGAGGTTTATCATATTAAATGGATGGGGGAAGGAACTGAATAGAACAGCAGCTTTTGTAACAGCAGTTATGAGAAGTCTTCAAAACTGCCAGCTGAAAGAAAAACTGTGGATACTGTCCTTGAAAGGAGCTCCTCAACTACATATTTGTGTCAAAGGAGGGGTGGGAGGTTAGTTCTAAAATTGGAGCATGTGTGCTTTTTTTTGGTAAAACTTCAAAATACCCAAGGCAGAGAATCAGCGCTCACTCACAGTCCTGACTGCTGGTCTATGTCGGCACCTTTCTGCACAAGGAGGGAGATTGCTTCTGTGTGCTTGTTAAGGACAGCAACTGTGAGAGCAGGTTGATCCTCGTCGCTGATGCAGTTTGGGTCAGCTCCCTAGAATGCACAGCAGAGGGAAGGTGAGCTGTTAAAAACCATACAGATTCTTCAACTTCCATGTTGTTTTAATATTATGCCAATTCAAGTTGGCAAGTGGGCTTTATGCTCAAGACAGAGAAATGTTAAAATTGTGTTGCTTTGCTTCTTCATGTTTCTTCTGAAAATGTTTGTCATCTCCTAGCTCAAGGTCAGAGTAATGTATTTAATAGCAGTCAAATCAGATTCCACAGTCAGGGTGCACCTTACCCTACCACACAGCAAAAACTTAGAGGTTATGCTCGCTTTTTTCCTATAGAGAGGACTTAACCCTAAACTATAAAACTTTCTGCTTGGCCTTGACAAACAGAGAAGAATGCCTTATGCACCCTAGAAATTTGGGGAGAACATATATAAATGTAAAATAGGTTGCATCTTCTCGAAAATGCTCTTTTAATCTGAAGACTATTACGAGACTGTTGCCTCCTAGGCATAAAGCTAAAGTTGCATACCAGGCTTATATTCTGTCAGTAAATGGTCAAAGAATTGAAAAGGGAAACTTCAGCAAGCAATAACTTACTTCACTGAGCAATTGTTCTATAAAGGTGATTCTTCCTTTTCCATTTGGACCCAGTTCATCCAGTAGTTGTCTGGATTCTGGCTGTGGAGACACAGACAGTAACATTTCACATAGTGAAAACTAGGCCATATCCTGCCTTTGAGTAAAGGTGAAAAATGCACACAGTGGCTTGAATGCAATGTATCTGAGCCTCATTATTGCTAATCCATGACTCTTCTTCGGGAATGTCTTTTTCAATATCAGCAAGTGTTCGGTAACCCAGGCTAATACCTCACTATTGAGGTTTTGATTCAGCAAATGTGTCTGAAAAATATTAGGTTTACATCAATGCAGCTCTCCAGGGCTGTATAAAGATCTGCTCAGCCCAGTAAAAGTGCTATATTTAGGATTAAAATTTGAAGCTTCCAGAATTTGTGAAAGTATTTTATTTAAAAAATGCGTATGTTTTTTCTCACAGAAGTTAGTTTACTAAATCTTAAAACAACAAACAATAAAATGTAAAGCCTTTAATTTCTTCCCAGGCTTCCAGCTCGTTCTTCTCATATCACAGAGCTATGTATCTTCTCCCACCTGTTGGGATAGCTAACTGTTCCAAGCTTAGATTAATGTACATTTCCCTTTTGAAACTGACAATCGGTTTAGTAGGCCGTTCTTTCAGGAAGTTTGGTCTCTAGTGGAAGTGAAGCCTTGCTTCTGGAATTAAACTAGGCCTCAATTATGCTGACATCTCAGCTTAATGGGAAAATGGAGTTGACTTAAAAGCTTGTTAGGTAGATCATCTTCTCCCGCCTAGTTCATAGACATACTGTGCCAACAGTAGTTCCAGCACAGTACATCAGTGGAGTCAAACATAGTAAAGTCAAGGGAAGATGACAGTGTCTTCATCTGATACTGCTTCTGAAGAAAACCTATAACAGAATCAGTCTCCAACAGTGTTTTGGCCTAAAGTACATCATCACCATCATGGCTGGGCTTCGTGAACGAAGATTTGGGAAAATACAACGGGTTCAATAATGAGAGAAACAATCTAATTAAGCTATTAGTAGGAAAAAAACATAGTTATTTTCAGTTCTGTAATAAATGTCAGTTACCAATGTTCAGGTTTTATATTAAGCTGGACTTTTATGCCCCGCCCCAGTCAAGGGGCATATTTTAACCCTTAAATGCCCTCCTTCATGTTAGTGCTGCTCCATAAATACTTTTTCTTGTATTTGCAGAAGATACTTACAGAGAGCTTATCTTCTTGTCCTGTAAGTGTTCTTGACTTTGTTCTCTTTATTTTGCCTCTTGAATGGAAAAGATTACAATCATCTTTGCCTACCAGAAAGGAAAACAAGTGTTAATTCAAAGCAAAGTCAGTATCCTAACTAGAACTTGTGGGAGAGGTCTGGAAATAATTTATCCCCAATTAAAGCAATATTTATCAGTTTTCCACACGAGAAAGTGATGAAATATTTGTTGCAGATCATAGTGGTTTTAACAAAAGTTTTATACTCAGGCAGTCTGAAAAACTTGCTATTTTGAAATGAAGATTCAGTGAAATGTGGAGTTTGGGGTGGTGGTTTCTTTTCTAACTAGTTGCAGCTATTCAACAGTTTTGACTCAGATTCATGAATTGTTTTGTCCAAAAACCTTATAATTTTTCAAAGCAGTCTGATTTCCAAATACTTAAGAACAAGGATCATCAGTAGATATGTATGGCCATTATTTTTAAGAGACATAATCTATCCAATGTGCAGGAGGGTTGAGAAGGAAATTATGCAGCATGTGAGGATCATTTGTGAGGATCCAAGTGCCTGGAATCACAGTCACATTATTAACACTCCAAAAAACCAGCTCCCAGCGCCATGGCCGCCTCTTGCCAAGTCTCAGATTGGAAGCACAAAGTGGATGAAACCTATATGGGAATTGAAGCATGTCAAATGATTCTATAGCAATTTCTGAATTCTAATGCTGACTTTACAACTAGTTGATTTAATGAAAATCTAAATCCAATATGAGATGCCTAAAATGCTGAGCTCTTACTGACACCAATGGGAGATGCAAGTTAACATAATCTGTGAAAACCAGGTCTAGAATTAATGTATTTCATCATTTCTTATCTTTGCCAAATATGCCCCAGCTGAAGTCCATGGCACAGCTCACAAGCAGAGATCATATTGATATTTATGGCTCCTATTGTAAAAGAATATGGGAAACATCTAAAGTTTTATCGCTATAATAAAAAAACTGCTATGAGCTATGGCTGCAGTTAACTGGTCTCAGCTGCTCTCTAGGGATGAAGGATTCCTAAGAATTTTTGAGAGAGTCTGTATGTTACTTAAATCTCAACTTGGATACATTTTGAAACTTCAAGATCAAGTTAAGCATGTACAGAATATCCCAATATAGTAGTTTACCCACCTCAGTGTCTAAGCTTCCAAGCTTTACTTCTTTATTCCTGACTGCTATATTTATGGTCTATTGTAAAGACAGGGGAAAAAAAAATCTCACCAAAACTGGTCTGATTCCTATCCTGTCCGTTTCTGACTTCAGTTACAGTATTCAGGTAATGACTGCTGAACTTCACTGGTTTATTAGTATGAATATCCTGTAGAATCATCAAATGCAGGCAGTTAATAAGATTATCATGTAATGCTGTTATAAGCTTGCTGTGGCACAAAACAGTTCTGTTTGCATATAGGAAAATACATAGGCTTTTAATATCAGTGTCAAATTACCACAAGACATTATCATATGTAATTGAACATTGAATTTTGAGGCAATATAATGTAGCAATTTTTTCTAAAATTTGTTTTGATTTAGGAAAAAAAAGGTGATACAACCTGACTTAAAGAAATGAAGATTCTTATCCAAATGACAGTGTTTCTACCACTTGAGAGATTTGATTAACTCCTCAGTTCTGAAATGATGTGATATACCTTTTCAGGCCCCACATCACAAGGTAAGCTGCTAAGTTTCTACAAAAGAGATATAATCTGAATTTCAGATTTTTGAAACAGTAGATTTTCATCTTTGAAATGCTGGAAATGAGGGTGGATTTTGGAACAAGGTAATTCTGGAGATAGGGATTCCAGATTCTGAATACAGTTAACAGGAGCTCCGACAAACATTATCTCCAAACTACTGAAAATTACTAAACTTGTTTCTTAAGAGCACAGTTTGCAGGCTGAAGAGAAGCAGGATCTAAGATCAAAAGCTCACCATCAAAAGCTAGAATCATCAAACAACATCAGCTGAAAGAAGAATGTTAATAGCAACTAACGAAATGCAAGATGATAGCAACATAACCATGAAGTCTGGCTTAATCAGATAAAGATACCTGTTCATCCAGCTCCAACAGAGAAAGAAAAAGATTTTTTTCTCTAAAGTGATATGTTAACACGCTCTGAATAAAAGAATTTCTTGTTTAGACCCAAATTTAAAATGTATCAGCGTTACGCTTGCTGTCTAGTGACAGCTTTATGCCAGCTGCCTATCAACAGGCCTCATCCCCTGAACTGACCTTGTTAATAGCAAGAACATAATTCAGTGTAATAGTGACTTCATAGTCATCCTCACAGATGGTAGCAGAATTAATCTAGAAGGAAAGAGCAGCCATTAGTACCTCTTACAAAAAAAATACACAGAAAGAGTTTTAGGAATAAGTCTTGATGCTGATGTTTCTTATGCAGCCAATACACAAAATCACACATGGCCTTTGCCTGCTTGTGATACTGTAACCAACACTTCCCATGTAACTGAGAAAGGGGTAGGTGTCTTTTGAGCAATTCAGAGTAACTGAAATGCCAAGTGAATCCAAAAGGTGTAATGAGGCTAAATTTCATGATAGTTCAGTCATTCTCCACCAAGATTTTGCAGCTGCATGGAAGGCTGTGTCATTTTTGGGACTCCCAACTCCAGGAGAATTGGTTACTGCTCTAGAAACGCCAGTTTGTGGAAGCACAGTGTGTATTAAAATGTGAGCAACTTTGTATATCAATTCATTCAGACAGTACTACTGGCAACAAGTCTATCAAAGTCATACAAAAATGAGTGCAAGGAGGATTATAAAGAAGTGAAATGAAGCTCACAAACTTATATTGCAGCTGGTTGAAAATTTTGAGATAAGGTTATTTATTATATTTCTAATCCAAATGAAAAACTGAAAAAGTGGCATTAAACCTAGCTAGTTAACATCTGCTTTGAACCATTACTTTTGGGGGCAGTGGTTTCAGGACAATAGAATGACAACAGGTCAAGAAGCAGCAGGAATAGCTTTCTCTAGGCAATTTTATATTTTTCAGGCCTATCTTTTTGAATCCTCTAGCAAAGGAAACAAGTTGCAGTGGACCTATACTCCAATTCTATTAAGCAGATATTCTAGTTATAGTTGTACTACAGCTTCTGAACATACTGGTGGACAGTAGGTCTCAGTGGATATAGATTCAGGTGCAGAGTATCTACTGGAGTCTAATCCCTCCCCAAAGTGTTACTTGACAAATGACAATTACCTTTCTGACCAGTATTCATGAGCCTTTCTGTAGTTGCTTCTATGTGCTAAAATTGGGGGAGAGGGGATGTACTGGTGTGTCACTTCAGTTAGGACAGGCTAAGAAATACTGAGCTTAAATTGTAACAGGGGAGATTGAGATCAGACACTTCTCAGTAATTATGCCAGTTCAAGGAGTTCCCAAACCCACTTCTGCCTGCATCCCACCTCCAGCTGCTCACTGCCAGCTTACTTTGTACTAACACTGCTGCCCCTTTTTACCTTCAGAGCTGTTTTTAGCCTAGGGCAGTCACTGATCCTGTTCACAGGACTTTGCTTCCAGCAATGTGCTGCCGGCACAACCACTTGTGGCAATGTGAGAGGATGCAGCTACCAAAGAAAGCAATACAGTACTGCAGCTGAATAGCAACAATAGCTGAGTGCAAAAAAGGACTGTGTGGGCCAATTGCAAAATCTCCATTGTTGGTAAGTTTGAAAAGCCTCAAGAGAAATATCAGTCGGGAACAGTTTAGACAGTTGATCCTCCCTCAAGTCAGAGGCCAAATGTTCTCTCACTCATACCAGCCCTATCTTCTAGGACTCTGTGGGAAGAATTTCCAGTTTGCACCTTCTTGCTGTCACCCCTTTAATCATTTTAATGCAGTTTGGTGACATCCTGAAGACTACCTCTCCAGTAAGAAAAGCACTATTCTGTTCCTGTAACTGGTATAGTTCACACTAAAAGTAGACTATATAGCCAAAGAGAATAGCTGCTGTCTGCTGCTATCAGCCTGGAGCAGAGGCGAGCACATCACTGAAATCCCATTTCTAGCAGGGCTTATTTAACTGAGCAACTATATAGATGCCACTGATCTCTTCTTTTTCTTGATTGCCTTCTGTGGGGTACTATAAAACAACTGAGCAAGAGCTTTCTCACTTTCCTTACAGCTGTTAGGTAAAAGAAGAATAGAATTAACAATAGGAAAGAAAGGAGAAAAAAATCTTCAATAGAAGACTGAGAAAAAAATAGAACAACAAAACAAGACAAATTACATACACAAACAGGTCAACATCTAAAGAAAAGGGAGACATTTATTTTTCCAGAGTTTATCTAGCAGCTACAATAATCTTTTCATGATCCTTCATAGGAAGATATTACTCACAACCTCCTTCCTACCTTTCCCATTCGAGGTTCTCCAATCAGTGCTCTGAATTCAAGGTTGTTCTGAGCATAGCTTCTAAGGTGAGCACAGACATGATCCAGCTGTTTTCTCCAGTAACCTGATCAGAGAGAGTTAAGCAGGAGAAAAATCCTTAAAATGTGATTAACATTTCTTCTAGTTAAGTGATGGAAGATTTAAAAGATAGCATAGTTTCACCGAGATACAAAAAAAATTTGAATTTTTTTGGTAGAAAGTTCATCTAATCAAGAAAATGAGACAGAAGGTACACCCTAAAAAAACCCAGGTGAAACATTATCTTATTCATAGGTTATAATTCATCCTTAGGGCACCTTTATTCACAACAAAATTATATCTTGGATGTTCCTTGGGAGTCAAAACTAGTCCAATGTGAAGGTAGAATCTCACACTAATCCAGATCATAAGAAAAGAAAAAAGTAAAATATTACAATTAAGCAACCGTGTATTATTGAACCGGTTTTTAGTTGATTTGGAACAACTGACAGGTAACAATAAGCCAAATCTGAAAACTGCAGACACAGAAACTTAGCATATACAGCATTCTGGTCTGTGTAAGTTATTTTCCAAATAAATTCCTTTCAATTATATATGTGAGAGCTTATTAAAAGCTTAAGCATTCCTGCTCTTTTGCCTGTCAGAATCTCTGGGAGAGAGTCAGCATTCCTTTATGTGGATAGAAGGCATGAAATTTGAGAGGCTGAATGCGCCTGGATTAAAAACTCAACCTAAGCCATTTAGAGTTTTTTGCACCTCCTGTCCAAGCATTTTGGGAGCTACATTCTCTCTTCATCAGGGAAAGAAACAAAAGGACTTGTTCTTATTCTTAACTGATTGTTATCAGGATCTGGCTTATTTTCATTTTTTAGCATACTTATGTAAAGTACACAGCATGATTAATTTCATTGTAAATAAATTGTGTAGGCTTGGTAACCTCATTTAACTTACACAGTGAAGCTGTTCTGACCTTATCCTTTCCTTCAAGTTAAGTGAAGCCCCAAACAGTGTAAAGAAACCAAGCCAGAAAGAAAGTGCTGCTCTGACTTTTACAAGAGAAGGCAAGTGCACACAGACTTCTGTGCTTGGAAGACACTTTCAAGATCGAACTGGTGTGTCAAACTAAAACAGCAAGTCTTATTTGTTAAGCAGCTTTAAAGGAATATAAAAAGAAGGATCCACAGTACAACATAAATTTTTCCCTGCCATGGTCTCACAAACAAAAACTAATACAAATAGGAAGTATTAATTAAAAAATCTAAACTAGACTACTACTTGATGAGCAATCTATCCACAGAAGTCAGTAATATTTGCAATAAATTGGTTCATAACTAGATCCCCAGATATTATTTCAAAAAATCCAGATGATTAGAAACATATTCTTGCATGGTTTTATTATAAGTCAATGGAGTTTTTGGCAGCACTGATGGAATACTTGAATCCATGCTGCCAATAGTTGATTACACCTACATCACACTGATTTAATGTTCTAAACTTTACTTCTTTGTAAAGTTTACCTGGTAAATGTTTTGGCTCCTGTTCATAACAGACTGAAAGTACAGCAAAAAAAGAAACAGAGTACACACCAGAGGATTAGTGATTTGATACTGCTGTCGTTTCCCCCTCTCTTAACTGCTCTGTAATTTTTTTAATCTTCACAAAAGGAAAGAAGGTTAGTTAATGGCTGATATGGTCAAGAAATAATAACCCCCACACATCTTATTTAGTCACTTGTATTTAAAAGCTTTAATATCAAATGTCTGATAGTATTTTATTTGAAGAAATAATGGTCATATTTGGCATATATAAACAAGATTTTCCTGGGTGATAGTGTACAGTCTTGTTGATACAGATAGTTTCAAGCCATGTACACAGCTCAGCATCAAGGAAAGGAATAGCATGAACTGACTGTAAGAGATGTTTATTGATTTATGGAATGAAATGTGTTCCTCAGTCCTTGGCCGGGTCTAATGGAGAATACATTACACAGTGCAACTTCAACAAAGTTACCTCTGCTAAATGGATTAACAGAATTCAAAAAGCAGTGCAGAATTTCTTCCCAACCTTTCCCAGTGACAGCAGTTCTCACTCACAAGTCAAGAGCTGTACTTCTGATAGAGTTATACAAACGTTAGTGTTAGTCTTCTCTTGAGACTGTTATGGGCCAATCCTTTATTATCTCTGATGAAATTATGCTTCCTGACATGCTGAGTCAAGTGTTGTATTTCCTACAGTGATGTCTAAGAGAATATGCCACATTTCAGAACAAGGGAGTAGGAACACAGATTTTCTTAGTGATTATTTTAAAAGTAAGAGTGCATGTGGATACAGATACACAGACTTAAAAGAGGAATTTCTAACATTAATTAGCAACCTTTTCTACCCATTCCAATTAATTAATTAATTCCGATAGCAGCCTGAGAGGTTAAATGTCTAATTGTAGAAGAGCTAGAGATGAGAAAGAGGATCTGAAAAAGTAACTGCTCCTCCAAACAATGCTTTGATGCCGTAATGATTTTAAATTAACTTGTCCTATGGATTGCACAGCTGGACTGCCCGGTGAGATTAAAGACAACTTTGCAGTTGGGCCATTTGTTAGATGCCTAATTAATACTGATGGACTGTCTTCAAGGGTTTGTGATCAAGAAAGCTTAAGTTGAAGATTTCCCAGCATAGTGAAACGAAAACCTCTAAAAATTATGAGCATTTAATGACAGCAGTCAAGTCATTCCACAAACAACAAACTGACCACAAAACTCACTGTGAAACAAAGTTGTCTGCAGTACTGATACAGCAGTCTGTGAGTGGACAGACTCTTCAATGAGTGATGTAGATGTACTGATACCCTTGAGGGGCTGGAAGAAGGGGTCTACAAGAGCTCTCAAGGTTTCTACCAACCCTATTTTTTGTAATCCTGTTAAGAATCCCTTCATCTAGTTAGGTTTTCTTTGCTTCCAAAACTTCTAAAATATCCTCCACAACATCACCCCAAAGAAGTTCTTCATGTAGACAAGCTTCATCATATTTTCAAGAGCTATGATCCCCTCAGTTTTGTTAATTGATACTCCCTGCAGGTGCCAGGTCTAACTGAAATTCACATCGGAGGGTGCTGGGAGATGGGGTGGCTGTTCAGTGGTTTCCAATTCAAATGCAGGTTGTCTGCCCCTGTGTGGGATCTGAGGAAATCAAACTACTACCAAATTAGTAAGGCTGCACAGGGGTCAGTAACCACAATTTTGATATAGCTGACAGTTCTCTTTTAGCTATTGATGGAGATCAGTGATTGAATTGTAAGGCGCTGCATTTACAAGTCACTGTAAATGGTGGGAAGAAAGACTTGTAAAGATCTAAATCAGTGTTGTACTGATGCCACATTCCATAGACTATAATATTTTCAAGAAAGAACAAGGTCATACATTGTTTAGAAAACATAAAATCAGAACTTCTAACCTTTTCCAGGACTAATGGCTGTCAGGAGAGGCTTATGATCACTCATCTTTTCCAGCTTTTCTTTTTGTGAAATCAGCTCAAGTTCTTTCTTTTCCAACTGTTTGCTGGACGGGTAAAAAAGTCCTATGGTTTGGGTTCCTTTATCTTCTCTTTCTGTTAGTTCTGGCCTTGATTTGGTCATGGAAACAGGATGAGGTTGCCAGGCAAATTGAGCTTGTAATTGTTTAGCCTGGGGGGTTGAAGGGAAAGTCTAAGTAATATAATTAGATATAATTAAATGGCTTACAAGCATAACTTAACTAGAACAGTACATAAAATTGTAAAGGAATGAAAAAGCTAGCAGGAAGAATCACTAACAATTCTTGATTTTAATTACCAGTCTGTAAGAACAATGCAACTTATCACAAATATTCAAGCAAAGTCAAAATTCTTCACAATTGCCAGAAGACTTGTATGCTTTTGTAGGGCAAAAGCTGGTCTTGCTAAATATTGTGGTCTTTCTTAAAACAGAGTTTTAAAAACACCGTTACCTTTGTATGAAGGAATATCTTGTATCAGCATGCCACAAATAATTCAAAACTAATAGAATAAGCTTAGAGCTAAGTGTTTTGAAAAGCTGATTGTTTCTCACTTGCTATTTAGGATGAGGTTGGATTAAGGCCTTGGGCTAACACTGCTCTTCAGCAGAAAGCAGAACAAACGTATCCTCAGTTTTGCCCTCATGTTCAAAGACCACAACATTGTCTTAAGGAAATGAATGGAGCTGTGCCAATCTATACCCGCAATGGACCAGCCTTTCAGTTGTTTTGAAACCTGGCTTTGTAATACTGTGTGTCTTATTTCAGAAGATCCCAGTGAGTCCCCAGGATCCATAAGACTGCCTTTTGGAGAGCCTCGCCTTGATGGGGGCTCTATGTAAACACCACAGGACACGCAAAAGCGAGCGTATGGCTGGTTGCTTGTACCACACTTGAAACAAGCAAAGTAGGATGGAGGAGGTCCAGGCTGGAAAGTTCAATGCAACACTTGTCACTAGAGAAGCATATGATGCATGGTTCAGGAATGATAAGAGCAGAGGAATGAATTAAAAGGAAGTAAAGTACCACTCCCTAAAGCTGTTAGATTAGGAATATTAATCAGGATACCAGATTGCTACTACACAGGCAGTTGCAACACAGTAAATCTTCAGGTATTTCAGCACTATACCATGAAGGCAAACATTTTTTCAGACAGATCTAGCATTATGGTACGTTCAGTTTAAACATATACTTTCAAAATTACTTATTTTATTTGACAAAGCCCTGTAATTACTAGTCTGGTGCTCTGACACTGAATACTGACTGCAATTCTTTCCAGTTCAATTCTATCACCACTCCCACCCCCCGCATTCCCTGGTACAGTACAGGAGCAATGGTTATTGGATATAGGATAGTGTTTCAAATTTTATGTGCACTCATCTAACAGAAAATAAATTCTCCTTGAGTGTGTTCTTAGATTGACACACTATAGAAGGGGAAATTTTTTGCACAAGCTCTATTGAGCAGCAGTTAAGTACTTGTCTTTACCCAAGTTAATGAGGTCTTCAGCCAAAATGATTGCATGCATCATCTCATATCTGTAATTGCCCGTATAGGTGATTATAGCACAGTGCAGTTATGGGAAAACTTGCATTAGGTTAGCCTATACTTTAACCTTTGATGGATAAGTTACTGTGGCTGAGTACAGGGCTATTGCATGTCAGCTGATGTAATGAGCGATGCTCTTGACCCATGGTAATTTGTTAAGTTCTAAAACCTTAAGTCACTGACTGATGTGGGGTCAGGATGTCATCTAAGATTTTCATTTTTCCATACATAATCCTATGTGCTCTAAGCAAGTATCTTGACAATAATAATCTGTCTACTAGCTGACAAGAATTTTGCAAAGAGAAGCTTGAAATTGCTGCAGGTCACAGATAAGTGAAATCAGATTTGTACACACAAGCATCAAGTGCACATCCCTTGGCTCCACACCAGTCACAGAAACAGGCATCACACTAGTTAACACGGTGCCATTTTGAGCACAAAACTGTCTTCCTTAGCTGGCTGTGGTAAGGTAGGGGGGTGTCTCCTCCAAACATGGGCTAATAAAGCAAAACAAGCATTAGGGAGAAAATGCTGCTTATGAAGAAAAGCTCACAAGCCTAATAAGGGGAAAGATGAAAGCAAGCTACTCTGATAACATAAAGTAATATGCAGCCTAAAAGAATTATTGCAACTAAGAATTACTGCAACTTAAAATGAGCAACAGAGTGGCTTGGATCTAACCTGTAATTTTTTTCATTACAAAACCATGGTAAAATGTGGCATTAACTAATTTAAAAATATTTTTAGCAGAACTAGTACCAAAAAATAAAAACCTTATCAATGGCATCCTTTTACACTATGTATTTATTATTGATCAGCCCCATGTGTAAGTACAGTTGAAATTAAGAGTGAGGGTTCTCTGCTGATAATCTTATGTTTTCAAATCCAACACACAACAGCTATTTTTCTTCGTACCTGGAGTATGGCAGGAAGAATGTGTTAAGGCAGGGAGTTTTCTCACAGTTTGGAATTTGCTGTATAAATATTCTTTTTGCACTCTTTTACCTTATATGCAAGTTATATATTACTTTGTTTTTCTACTACAATCAAATTATAAGGGTAAGCAAATAAAACGGGTTTTTCATCTGAAACTGCTAGAGGTTTAGTATAGATCCCAGTTAGGACAAATAGGACTTAAAGCTGCTTTGTAAGGTTTGGCTTCAAGGCTTATGCAGTTTATTTTCTCTGCAAGTCAGGAATACGGATAAGGAATACAACCCGAGGAAAATTATTTGTATTACACAACAGCAAGTAAGCAAACATGAAATAGCCCAGGGAATGCGGGGGGTGGGAGTGGTGATAGAATTGAACTGGAAAGAATTGCAGTCAGTATTCAGTGTCAGAGCACCAGACTAGTAATTACAGGGCTTTGTCAAATAAAATAAGTAATTTTGAAAGTATATGTTTAAACTGAACGTACCATAATGCTAGATCTGTCTGAAAAAATGTTTACCTTCATGGTATAGTGCTGAAATACCTGAAGATTTACTGTGTTGCAACTGCCTGTGTAGTAGCAATCTGGTATCCTGATTAATATTCCTAATCTAACAGCTTTAGGGAGTGGTACTTTACTTCCTATTTTCATCTGTGGCCTGTATTTCAACTGAAACTAAGTAATTTAAGGGCTTAATTGGAAGATAAAATTTACGAAGGCACAAATCTAAATGTCTTCTAAATCTATATTATTTAATAACCATTCATAATAATATCAGAATTACTATTATTAATTATTTAGAAATTACTAATGTTTATCACTAATTAATCTATATTATTAGTAAAATTTCTGATTACTATTAATAATTCTTAGTAAGCAATTAACTTTCTCTCTTAGCTGTTACAAGACATGAATGCTCCATATGCCTAACTTACATATGCAGCTACATATTACATATCTACATGTCTACATTCAGTGAAGCAGCTAAACATATATTTGTCTTAGGTAAGTACAGAATCCTACTGAAATTCACTTTGAAATGACACTCCAGTGGCTACACAAGAGACTTTTGCCTCTAGCAACAGTTTTAGAACTCAGGATGTTAGCCATTATAATCAGATTTTAACTTGCGAATCATTATTTTTCTCTCATTTCTGTATTTATCACAACGTGGAGAAGTGAAATGTACCATAAGTTACCATAAGTAACATTTACTACCGCTTTTCTCACCTCAGTGCAGAGTCACAGCCAAATACAAGCATACTAGCTGTATGCACATAGAAGAGGCAGCAAATGGAGATAAGAAAAATAATGTAAAAGTGGAGATAAGAAAAATAATGTAAAAGCATATTTTGTTTTCAGAAAATAATTGAAATCAGTGTGAATGATCTTCCTCATGTATATACTCAACTTTTCTATTGCAATTGAAAATAATCTGAACAAAAACAAGACTTCCTTGGAGTCAAGACTACCCATTTTCTAAGAGCCTTTTGAGCTTTCTCAATGGCATTCATAATCCTGACTTCCATGGGAGAAACTTGAAGGTACATGATACACTTCTGTTTAGCTGGACGTTTGTGATGGAGCATCTGTGGCAGTACTGGGCTTGAATATGACATGGGGGAGGAAATCTCTGTCCTTGTGATATAGGGACACAGGGATATACCTTCAGTTTTCCAAAGATAAAGAATGTTATGCTTTCATTTCATTGATGCAAGAAGCCTTACCGTCTGTATTTCAGGCAGTTTGCTTTCACAAGTTGCACAGTGTTTATGGTGAAGAGGATTTCTTGTGCCACACACCTGACAAAACTGTAAACAACGAAAAGAACAAGAGGACTTGATCTTACAAAGTGCTGTGGTTATTCAGCCCTGCAGATAGAAGAGATACTTAAACTCTGTGCTGTAGGTTTCACACTTTAGTTAGGCCATATTGCCTGGTCATCACAAATCTGTGTATCTTGGTGACTAATTTTTTAAAACTATGGCATAGTTTCCTCAGGAGATCCAGTATCAATAGCTCCAGATATTTGTATATACTAGTGTCAGTTTGCTTAGTCACTACACTCACGAAAAACAGACAGTCCAGTACCTGCAAGGAAAATTATTAATAATATAATAACTGTTAATAATACAATACCATCATATCATTAGGTGCCTTAAAATATCCTTAAAAGGTCTTAGCACAGTCACTATTAACAACTGAGTTTCTACCAGGGCTAAGAATAATGACACTGCTATTTTGATTGTTGCCACCAAATAGTTCAGGTCTGCCTTTGCACCTACATCAGGTCTACCATAAAACATTCCATTTGGGCCAGTGGCTATAAACTACCTTTGGTGGGTTGACCCTGGCTGGAGGCCAGGTGCCCACCAAAGCCGCTCTACCACTCCCCTCCTCAGATGGACAGGGAAGAGAAAATATAATGAAAAGCTCATGAATTGAGATAAGGGCACTGATAACTGATTACTGTTATGGGAAAAAAGAACTCAGCTTGGGGAAATTAACTGAATTTATTACCAATCAAATCACAGTAGGATAATGAGAAATAAACCCAAATCTTAACCCCACTGCTCACTCCTTCTGAGGCTTAACTTTTCTCCTGATTCTCTACCTCCTGCCCTCCTCAAGAGCACAGGGAAATGGGGAATGGGGGTTAGTCAGTAACCTTCCTTCCTTCTCAGGGGGAAGACTCCTCGCAGTCTTCCCCTGCTTCAGCATTGGGTCCTTCCCAGGGAAGAGAGTTCTCCATGAACGTCTCCAACATGAGTCCTTCCACAGACTACAGTTCTTCATTAACTGCTCCAGTACGGGTCCCTTTCCATGAGCTGCAGTCCTTCAGAAACAGGCTACTCCAGCATGGGTCCCCCATGGAGTCACAAGTCCTGCCAGCAAACCTGCTCCAGATCTATTCATGGGGCCACAGGTCCTGCCAGGAGCCTGCTCCAGTGTGGGCTTACCATGGGGGCACATCTGCCTTTAGGCATCCATCTGGTCCAGTGTGGGGTCCTCCATGAGCTGCTTCCCCATGAACCTCTCTGGGCTGCAGGGGGACTGCCTGCCTCACCATGGTCTTCACCAAGGGCTGCAGGATAATCTCAGCTCCTGTGCCTGGAGCACCTCCTCTCCATCCTTCTTCACTGATCTTGGTGTATGCATAGTTGTTTCTCTCACTTCTCACTTCTCTCACTTCTCACTTCTCTCATCTCTGGCTGCAATTTGCTTCTGTGCAATAACTTCCCCCCCCCCTTTAAATATGTTATCCCAGAGGCCCTCCCTCTGTTGCTTATTGATTCAGCCTTGGCCAGCAGTGGGTCCCTCTTGGAACCAGCTGACATTGGCTTCATTGGACAAAGGGAAAGCTTCCAGCAGCTTCTCAGAGAAGCCCCCCTATAGCCCCCCCACCTTGCTACCAAAACCTTGCCATGAAAACAAAGTATCTCTGTCAATCACATATTAATGTGGATTTTAATGATAATTCTTAAAAGTCAAAATAACATCACAATACTGAATGAAAGTGGAAGATTTACACACAATCCACCCCTCTTCCTTTCACCACAATTACAACATGAGAAATTCTCCATGATCATTCCACTCTCTAACACTGTGCAGTTCATATTTTGTCTGTTACCTCTTCCAATTACTATCCTTATCTCAAATTCCTCATGCCCCACATAGGGCACCAAAAAGGACTGTGATGGATTGACCTTGGTTGGATGCCAGGTGCCCACCAGGCCACTCTATCACTCCCCTCAGCAGGACAGGGGAAGAAAATAAGATGGAAAAAACCTCATCAGTCGAGATAAAGGCAGTTTACTAAAGCAAAAGTGAAGGTCATGCGTGCACAAGCAAAGTTAAAAACTCAGAGATTTTCTGTTTTCCATCAGCAAGTGATGTCTAGCCACTTCCTGGGAAGCAGGGCTTCAGCATGCATAGAGGTTGATCTGCAAGGCAAATATTGTAAATAATGAATGCCCACCCTACCCTTCCTTCTCCTCTTTCTTAGCTTTTATATCTGAGCTGATGCCATATGGCATGGGATTTCCCTTTGGTCAGTTTGAGTCAGCTGTCCTGACTATGTTGGCTCCCAAGATTTTGCCCACCCCCAGCCTACTGGAGATGTTGGAGAGATAGTGCTGGTGCTTGCCAGCACTGCTCAGCAGTAGCCAAAACACCAGTGTGTTATGGACACCTTTCTAGTTGCCTGTGCAAAGCACAGCACTGTGAGAGCTGCTGTGCGAAAAATGAACTCCATTTCAGCCAGGCCCAATACAGACATCAAGCTGGTAACTGCCTCACATTATGAATCTCCTTTGTTATCTGATTAGTCTCCAGATAGTAATTTTCTTTCATCATCCTTCTCCTTCCAAAAATGTTTGCTTGCTATTATCACAGAATCCCACTGAATGGCTGAGGTTGGAAGGGACCTCTGGAGGTCACCTGGTCCAATCCCTCTGCTCTGCCCTCTAGAAGGGCCACCTAGAGCTGCTTGCCCAGGGCCATGTTCAGATGGCTTTCGAATATCTCTAAGGATGGAGAATCTACAACCTCTCTGGGCAACCTGTGCAGGTGCTCAGTCACCATCACAGTAAAAAAGTGTTTCCTGATGTTCAGATGGAACCTTCTGTGTTTCAGTTTGTGCCCATTACCTCTGGTCCTGTTACTGGGCACTACCGAAAAGAGCCTGGGTTTATCTTCCTCCACTTTGGCCACAACAACCTCATGCAGCACTACAGGCTGGGCACAGAGTGGCTGGACAGCAGCCAGGCAGAGAGGGATCTGGGAGTTTGGATTGACAGGAAGCTGAACATGAGCCAGCGGTGTGCCCAGGTGGCCAAGAAGGCAAATGGCATCCTGGCCTGTATCACGAACAGTGTGGCAAACAGGTCCAGGGAAGTGATTCTTCCCCTGTACTCAGTTCTGGTGAGGCCACAGCTCGAGTACTGTGTTCTCTTCTGGGTCCCTCAGTTCAGGAAGGATATTGAGGTGCTGGAGCAGGTCCAGAGAAGAGCAACAAGGTTGGTGAAGGGACTGCAGCACAAGTCCTATGAGGAGAGGTTGAGGAAGCTGGGGTTATTCAGCCTGGAGAAGAGGAGGCTCAGAGGAGACCTCATCATTCTCTACAACTACCTGAAAGGAGGTTGTAGCCAGGTGGGGGTTGGTCTCTTCTCCCAGGCAGCTATCAGTAAGACAAGAGAGCATGGTCTTAAGCTCTGCCAGGGGAGGTTTAGGTTAGATATTAGGAAGAAATTCTTTACAGAGAGGGTAATCAGGCATTGGAATGGGCTGCCCAGGGAAGTGGTGGATTCTCTGTCCCCGGAGGCTTTTAAGATGAGACTGGATGTGGCACTTAGTGCCATGGTCTAGTAACCACAGTGGTAGTGGACCATTGGACTTGATGATCTCAGAGGTCCCTTCCAACCCAGCTGATTCTATGATTCTATGATCTTCTTGCACCCTACCTTCAGGTATTTATATACATTGATGAGATTGCCTCTGAGCCTTCTTTTCTCTAAGCTAAGCAGTCTCTGCTTTCTCAGTCTTTCCTTTAGACGCTCCAGTCCCTTAATCATCTCTGTGGACCTTCACTGGACTCTCTCCATTATGTCCATGTCTCTCTTGTACTGGGGAGCCCAGAACTGGACACAGTACTCCAGATACAGGCTCACCACAGCTGAGTAGTGGGGAAGGATCACCTCCCTTGACCTGCTGGCAACACAGTTCCTAGGGGCTTTGGCTTTCCTAACAATGCCTCTGCATATTCCTCCCAGGTTACCTGTCCCTGCTTCCACCTTCTGTATATTTCCTTCTTATATATCTAAGTTTTGACAGGAACTCCTTGTTTATCCATGCAAGGCTGCTGGCACTTCTGCCTGTCTTCCAGCTCATAAGGACGGACTCCTCTTGACCTTGGAGGAGGTGATCCTTGAATCACCTTAAATCATCACTACTTTTCTTGGACTCCTCTTTCTGCAAGGCCTTATCCCATGGACTTTTTCAAGCAGATTCCTGAAGAGGCCAAAGTCCATTCTCCTGAATTCCAGGGCTGTGATCTTGCTTTTGTCTCTGCTCTTTCCTCTCAGGGTCCTGAACTCCTGTTTTGTGGTCACTACAGCCAAGGCTGTCTTCGACCTTCACATCTCCAAGAAGGCCTTCTTTCCTTCTAAGTATAACGTCCAGCAGAGCACCCTTCTTCTCTGGCTTCTCAACCACTTGTGCCAGGGAGTTATCTTTGATATTTTCCAGGAAGTGCTGGATTGCTTATGCTCTGCTTTGTTGTTTGTCCAGTAGATATCGGGTGCCTAAAATCTCCCATGAGGACCAGGGCTTGTAAATGTGAACCTACTTCTACCTGTCTCCAGAAGGCCTCATCCACTGTTTTTTCCTGGTGAGGGGGCCTACAGCAGACACCACTACAATGCCACCCATAGAGGCACAGAATCATAGAATCATTTAGGTGGGAGAAGACCTTTAAGATCATCAAGTCCAACTGCTAACCTAACATGCGAGTCATCGCTCCACACTCCACTGCTACATCATGTGCTCTTCAGCATGCATTCCTGAGCTTATGTTGTTCACTTTTAATCCTTAGTTCTATTCTAGGTGCTTTTAATCCTACTAACTCTTAAAGCTCTCATAATATAATTATACAAAGCCAAGTTGGATCAAAATATTTCTAATGAAGTAATTTGTTAGAAGAATGCATGCCAGGAGTTAAATCACTTTTATGTTACATTTGTTCTCAATTACCTTTATGCAGGTGTTGTTTTGGGACTGCAGCTGTGGAGCTATTGGTGACTCACATACAATGCAAGTGGGTGTATTCATTGGCACAGAATGTCTGCATTCAAGACATGGTGCCATCTGAAGAAAAAGCCACAACACAGCATGTTAAGGACCTCAATGAAATCATTAAAGTTATAATGAGATTTCAGTATTTTCCTATCTGGAGTCTACATCAGCAGCAAAGTCACTTGAAACAAAGAAACTGACAACAACTGATGCTGATATTGATCCCTAAAGATCAAAGGCTATTGAGAAAATATGAACACATCTGGAAAGACAATGCTGAAAAGGTACTAAGTTAATTTTCAGTAAAATTAAAATGCTACTATAAAATATGTACAGGTAATTGAAATCCTCCTAATTATGAATCTCCTAAATTTTCGTTCGCGAAGCCTAGCCATGATGATGATGAATTATGAATCTAATCTAAACAGGCAGTGAATCTTCTCAGTCATTACTTAAAACTACAGCATTGCCCCAGACAAGATATCTTTCTGATGATATAGGAAAGGAGACACACCATTGACTTGTTAGATCAGGTTATTATCTCCTGGGAGGGGCTTAGGGAAGACAGTTACAGGCACCACTGCAAAAACTTGGTGCTCTTACATATGCCCACACATGCCACTGTTTAAGGTTTCAGGAATATTAGATCGATCTTCTAAAGCTATGACATAAGCACTAGTTATTAGCTAACTAACTGCACTAGTTAGCATTGGAATAAAACACATATTCGACACAGGCAAATAAAACACAATTTACTTTTTCATTGTTTTCCCTATTAAAAAACATGGCACTTGAAGAAATCTATGGTTAATTTTGCTCATCATTTGAGAGTTTCATCAGCTCTACTGCTAAAGGTATTGAGCAGAACAAAACAATTAGAACAGAACTTCCAAATGAAAGTGCGACTAAGTAACAGGTTTGCCAGCACTGAGTGTGTAACTTGCAGAGGATGTTGTTTACTCCAAAGACGATGTGTTGATTGTTACGACATTTTGCTGACCTGCCTTCCTTCAGGGAGTGGGAAGCGATGTACCGGCACAGGTGGGATAGGAGATCCACATTTCTGACAGAAGTGAGCCAACGGATTAGACAGGCGAGGTGCAGAACAGTGTGCACATCTGAAAATAAGACCAAACTAGCTGAGCTTGTTTTAGTATTGCACTGGTGCATAATAATTAATAATCTGGAACTTGTTGTGACAAGACTTAGGCCACAGATTTCTCAGTTGTGGTTTCCAAGCTGTGGTGGTCTACCAGACCATACCCCAGCATTCATGATATGAAGTTCTGAATTCTAAACAGCTTTGCAGAGTAGAAAGCTCTCTGGCTGCTATGGAATTTCATACTTTCTTCCTCACCATGAGGAGGTAAACATGTGAGGTAAACAGGTCTCCTGACATGCAGTCTGTATCAGGCCTCACTGCTGCAGCATGGGGAACCACTGATGTAAATCACAGAACCCTTCCAATACTGATAAGCATTACTATTCTGTGAGACTACTCCAGTGAGCAGTTTTCACCTGCAGCAGTAAGGCTGTAGTATAATTTGAAAAGATAGTTTATCCTCTGACTCTACAGGTCTTAGAAATTTTTTTTAAGAGATGATAAGACAGTTGATAATTGTGTATGGTAAAATGTAAATAAAACGACATTTAAGAGAAGGCCTTACCTAGATTATATTATTCAGTTATGAGCCAGTGTCTGTCTTTGCTTTCCTAATGTTTATAGAGACCCACAGTATTACCAACTTGCTTGCAAAAGGTTCAGACACTTTCCGAAGGACAAATATGTTAAAAGGAGAAGTCACTTACTTAAGGAAATCTGTTTCCCTCTGGATCCTTGACACTTGTGTGCTTGCTAAGCTTTTCTGGTTTGTCACTGCAGAAGAACTTGCAAACTGAAATGAAGTTACTTCTTTAGCCCTTAGAAGCAAATATTTGCAAAATGCATATAAAAGTAGCAAAATCAGCTGAAGATGCTATTTGAAGCAACAGGAAACAGTGCACTGAAATGCACTGCTTTAAGGAGCATCAACTGTACTCGATTCCCCCATTAGCTGCCTTAAGGACCCAGAGCTTCTTCCAATAAAAATAAATCAATCTCTTGCTATTTACTTTTCATGACAGCACTACTGGATATTGAGTTTCGAATATTAACTTGACAACATACAGCAGTAGGTATTTGCTAATTGCACATTCAGTAACATAGCAGAAAAGAATTAGTAGGAATGTCAATTTTCTTTGCCTGGTTTTGTCTATACTGATAACTGTAAAGTGCTTTGGGCATTCCTATTCTAGTATGTCATTACCATTAAATTTAAATCAGGACTGTAAAATACAGACAAAGGCTGAGAGATCTGAGAAATCACAAATCTTCATATCTTCATTTTTTTAGACCTCTGTCCTGATGACAGTCTTATACAGTTTTCTTCAGCACCCCTTTGCTTACCTGTAATGATTCTGTTGGTGGTGCTGAGACAGATTCTTCTCTGTACTCTGTTGTTTCCAAATGACTGGCAAGGAGCTGTGGTCCTTGCAGGGATCTATGAGAAGTCTTTCTTTCTGTTTCCAAGATTAAAATTACAATTCTGTTATTCCACTGTCATTCACTTCATGCAGCTAATATATATCTTAACATGAATATTACATACTCTCTAAGCATATTAAAAATGTATCTGACATCCAGATTTTGGGTTCAAATAAGCTGCACGAAATTACAGGAAACTGAACTAGAAGAAAAATCATGTCTCTCTGAAAAAGCCTACTTTTGTATTTTTCTTTATTTACAGTTTTATTCCTTCCTTCATGCTCAGAAAAACTCCAGCTCCTAAAAGTAAATTAATGAGTAAACAGTAGTACAATTCCCTGCTCTTAAATAGTCCCATTGCCATTGCCATGGAATAACAGACTTTATCTACTGCGAAAATCTGGGTTAAACTCTAATTTGTGCTTTGTGTATTTATTTTGGAATCTTACTGCACAAACATAGTAAAGAACTCTGTAAAGGATTTGTAATCCCACCAATTTAACAGCATTTTCTGGCACAAAGAGAAATACAGACTTGGGCCTTGTCATGTCGCTGAGAAATTAATGACATTTTAATAAGTTTTTAAGAAGTAATGTGAAATGTATGGAAGGTAAGTTTTGCTCTATTTGCAGTGTTGAGCAGAGGATGTTTTGTCCTCTGAGATGGTTTTAAAATTACCTATCTGATACAAGAGGAAAAGGTTACACTATTTTCTGCTAAAACAGAAGACTATCTCAGTTTTATGAGGTAATACTATACCTTGAAAGTCTTGGGGTATTTCACCCCAGGCGGGCTTGATTTCCACTTTCAGTCCATTCTTCCTTGATTTTGTAGTAAACATTCCACCTTCCTTATTCTAAAAGGTAATTCCATTTGAATTCCAGACGAAATTTTTGCTTTTGCTCAAAACCTCTCTTGCTACATATTTAAGCTATTTATTTTCAATGCAAGCATTTGAAAAACTCCTATTATAAATGTATTTTTAAAACATTTGATGTGAATTGTTCATAAAATACCACTGGGGAAAAAAAGTGTCCCCTCGAAATTTTAATATTACAAAAAGGACCAAAGCAGCAAAGATGGGCAGACAGAGAAAATAAATATATTAATAGTATAGACAGTTTAATCTCTAAGTAACATATATATAATATTTTATATTCACATAAGGGGTTACAATTGCTAAAACTTACCCGTGCGGCTATATCTTTTAGAAAATTCTTGTCATCATCTTCAACAGAAAAAAGGATGTTTGGTTGCTTGTACTCTACCAGAAACACCTTTGTTACGACTGTACTCTTCCTGCAGTCCCTGAAAATCAATGTTCACAAACCCATGTGCAGCAACAAGCCACTGATGAACATGGCTCATCTGGTTGAACATCTTTTCCAAGGTTGCCAGTTACTACTTCAGTTGATAAGTATAATCCTGGGCAATATTTAGGTAATAAAAAATCTTCAATTCACTAATACATGTTAAATTACAACAGTATCATTGAAATTGCTGTAAATGTGCAAACCACTCAGGATAAAAACATACTGGAAACAAGTGTTAATCTAGGTAGTGATAAAAAGAAAATACACATAGGCCTAGGTTTTGCATGTCCCTGCACAGGGAATATAATGCTGTTATATTCCAGCACAAACACAAATGAAGGCTACCTGCAGGTGCTAACAACAGGGAACAGCAAGCACAAATCTCCAAGTGGAGTGGGAGTTTCTGCTCTGTTGGAAATAAAAGATAATGCAACACAGTCCAGACAGAGAATTTATGTGTCCTCTCTCTGTCTCTAAGTATGAAGTTAGTTTGGACAAAGTCAGTGGCTGTGCAGCAAAATCCAGTTTTCTTTCTATGTATTGTATTTTCACCTTACCCAACATTGTACTTAAGCTGTGAGGTTTGGCATTCTGTACTCCTTTGGGAGAAACTAAGCAAGTTCCTGGAAAGACCAGCCTCTATAAATCCATTGAAACACTGGATGACCCCAGAAAACACCATACTGGTTCCTCTGGTGTTTCTGATGACCACACTCAAAAAGATGAGCTCTAAGTGTTAGCTTCTCGCCCACAGCCTCTATGGATCATTGGCCCACACCCACAGCCCAGGAGATAAACATCAGAGAGATAATTCAACCACACAAACACTTGGTGGATAAATAGTATTATGAGAATGCAATGTCAATGCAATTCCTAAAGATCATTTCAATTGCAAACTGGCTGTGGAAAGGGGCATTTCTCATGGAGTGCCTTAAACAACATGGCTACAAGCTATGACTGAGATATCTGTCCCTTGCCAAAACAGGACTAAAATAAATAAGTTACTTACTTTGTAACTGCTAGTGCCTTGACCACTATTTTCCCAACTGGTAATATGATAGGACTCTTATACTTAAAAGTGTTACACTCTCCATAGCCAGGTTTTCTAATGAGTTCTGGTTTACTTCCATCTAAAGTGTAATAAATAGAGACTTCAGGTGTATCTGAAACAGAGAAAGTAATTATTCAAACTGTATTCAACCTTGGAAAAACAAGCTCTACACTCCAGAGTACTCACTACTGTGCTTGATTTTTGTCACATAAACAAAATAGAGCAGTTCCATAAATGACTGAATATTTGGGAACAAAACTCTTTCTGCCATGAAATATCTGTTACTCAATAGACACAATTTCATTATGAGCAACATTTCTTATATCAAAGTAGCTGGGCATTGGTTTTGTATGAAAACATTACAGCAGCTTATCCATTCCAGTGACAGAAAAGATATTTTCTGCCATGGTGAAAGGTGACATTTTAAAACACGTAAGGAAAACATTGGGGGTGAGCCTGGCACATGATATTTTTAAGCACTGGTTTTGCAGTCAAAGCAAAATGTAACAGCTTAAAACTTCGACCTTGGAAGCAATTAAGACTGCTAACACATATAACCTGTATGTTGGTAATATTACTTGAATGCATAAAATTACACGCAAGTATATTTGGCGCATCAAAAGCTGTTGGTTAATTTTGTAAGTTCCTTAATGAAATGCACACTCATAAAAATCATAATCAAACGTGAAGAAAAGTATAGAGGCTAAACAAGTCAAATGACCACAGAAATAAAGACTCTTATTCGTACCTGATTTTATTTCTACGAGAGTATTTGTGTCTATTTCATGTTTAGCCTTCCCTGGAAGAGGGATTCGAAGTGGTATGACCTGAGGAACTGAGACAGAGCCAGCTGTCATTTTTCTCAACAGCAATCTTTAAAATAGAAAAATAAAAAGGCAGATAATAATTTTCCTAAACAGAAGAATGCACTGAGAAATACAGTCTTTTAACATGATCTCTTGTCCTCGTTTTTTTCTCTTAAGAGAGAACATTGGATTCTTTAAACTGTTATTTGTCATTAATATTTGCATGATTTTCACACTGAAAAGGGGCAACATCCTACTTCCAACTCATTCTCCTGTTGCAGAACTGTGAACAAAACTTGAGATGAGTACTGTGAGGGAGACTCCACAGCCTCTCTGGGCAATCTGTGCTCGATCACCCGCACGGGCAAAGTTGTTCTTCCTCATGTTCAGGTGGTACACCACCGAGAAGAGCCTGGCTCCATCCTCTTGACATCCACTCACCAACTACGGGCGGATCAGACCTTTACCTGACCCGAGGGAGCTGATAGGTTTTCCCTCAAGGCCCCGCCTGCTCTTGGCACACCTGGACCAAGGCACGCTGTGCTCTGTTTCAGCCTCCTGGGACCGCATCCCTGGCGGGAGACGCACGGTCCTAGCGGCATCCCCAGCGCGCCGGGCTCCCGCCACAGGGCGCCGCCAAGCCCCGCTTTCCGTCCCGCTCCCGGCCAGCCTGGTCCCCGCCCCCCTCCATCCCTGCTGTGCCAGCCCCGCTGCCTCCCGCGTGCCAGCCCCGCTCCATCCTGCTGTGCCAGCCCCGCCTCCATCCCCGCGTGCCAGCCCCGCTCCATCCTGCTGTGCAAGCCCCGCCTCCCTGCCTGTGCAGCCCCGCTCCAGTCGCTGTGCAGCCCCGCTCCATCCCTGCGGTGCCAGCCCGCTTGCCTGCCACCCGCCCGGCCCCGCGCCGCTCCGTTTCCACGGCCGCCGCGCGCCGGCTCTCCCGGCTCCCATTGGTCGTTGCGCCCCCCTCCATTGCCCGTCTCAAACGTCATCTCGCCGCGCCAGGCCGGCCGCGCCATGGCGGAGGTGAAGGTAAAGCCGGAGGTGCCCGACTCCATGGATATCGAGAGCAGGTGCGGGGCGGGCGGCCCTGGGGGGCTCTCTCGTGGCAGATGGAGAGACTGCCGGGTGAGAGGAGAGGCAGGACGCAGTAGGGGTGTGTGAAGGCCGGCAAGGGGCCAGGGAGACTTGTTTTGGCGTGGGGGAGACAGGCGTGGGGCGTGTCGGTGCCTTGAGGGGTGTTGTTCAAGGCCTGGGGGCTGTGGTTCGAGGCCTGAGTGTGGTCAGGAAGTAGGTGCTGAAGGAGAGAGTTGCAGTTGTTTGAGGTACTGAGAGTTTCGTGCTGAGAGATGCTTAGGTGGCAGTGGGAGACGGGGTCAGGTCACCTTTGGCTGCCTTGGTGTTTTTTCTGGTCTTGGAAAAGGGAATTGTGGTTTTTTTACATGAATTTTTTTTTTCTTAAAGGTATTTCATCACTATTTGCCTTCTCTGACTAGTCACCAGTTCCTTTCCATTGGAACCTTTTGTATAATAAAACATACAGGGAGCTTTAAATCCATGTTGTTAATAATGAAAACAACACAAAAGTAAAATAGAGCACCACACTCAGTGTTGTCAGCAAGAGCAGAGGTAGTTGGTCCAGCAGCTGGGGCAGGTTTGTATTTGTCAGCACAAGGGAGTAGATGCTGGGTTCCCTCAAGAGACATGACCAAGAAACAGTCGCTGGATACTTTTGCCCTGAGTTTTTCTTGTCACTCTCTTCCATCCTGACTCTAATACTTGAATTTGGTTTCAGGTGCAACAGAACATGACTTTAAACTCACTTTTCTCCTCCCGCAGGATTATTGAGCTGTGCCACCAATTCCCTCATGGTATCACAGACCAGGTGATCCAGAATGACATGCCTCACATGGAAGCCCAGCAGCGAGCTGTGGCCATCAACAGGCTGCTCTCCATGGTAGGGGGATCTCACCTTCCTCATTCTATCTCAGCCAACCCAGAGCATGTACATACATACTCTGTATGTACAGTCTGCATGTTGGGCAGGGCTAGCAGATTGATTCCGTTGGATTTAGCAGCATTTGCCATGATATACAGTTGCCATAGTTTACTTTTGGTAGCCATAAGCACTAATGATTGCTAAAGTTAATTAAGGTGTGCCTCAACTGACTCTTTCTAGTCTGCAATACAAAGTTAACATGGAGGTGTATATCGATGTGGATCACTGGGTGAGGAAGCTACCACTGAGAAGTACGACATTTGGGTTTTTTGATGTGTTTAGAGTTTTTTGGTCTTTTCACTAAGTGTTACTTTGTAAAGCAAAATGTGTTACAATGGTCTAGAGTACCAGTTGGGTGCAAGTATAGTTGCAGGGGTTCATCAGGTGGAAAGATGGCCATGGGTGATAACCACAAGGCCCATTAATGATCGAGAATGAATTAGCTGGAGAGAAAAGGATGGATGTTAGCCCATGCTCTTATATGTCTTCTCACAAAATCCCAAGGTTGTGGATTACTCTGATAACATGCAGGTGAAACATGTCAAGGAATTTTTTTGTATTTTCTGTAAATTTCCCGTGCCTCACTGGACATTTCTCTTTACTGTATCAGGAGTCAGCCTAAGATAGGAGCAAGGATCACACTCGGCTACTCCGGCCAAGTGTTCAAGAATACACCACACTGACCCAACAAGACTGAACAGCTACTCTCTAAACTTGAGTAGCAGCTAAATGTTCAGGCTCTTTAAAAGATCAAGGTTCCTTTTGGTTCCATACCTAGCTGCTTCCTGAGCATGTGGAGTCAGGAAATAAAACAGTCGGAGCGGTGCAGTCCAGAGAGCACTTTGAAAAAGAGGGCAACTTGCTTCTTAGAAAGAAGGATAGTGGAAAGTATCCAAACTGAGTAAGGTGTGGTGGTTGGCTTTTGTTGTTTTGTTTGGGTTTAGTTTTTTTTACTAGCTGAAGAAACTTCTTAACTTTGATCCTATGATCCATACTAGGTATCACTGGAAGTAATCTTTCTCTTTTTTGTCTTTCTGTTATAAATGAGTTCTGTTATAGATGTTACTAAGTGTGTTCAATAACTTTGAAAGGGCTGTCCAGATTTCATAATGAGGCTTCAAAGATAGTTAAGTCTTTGGAATTTGTTTAAAATTGATGCTTAGAAGTGGGGAGTATGTGGGAAGATCTAGAAAGTACTTCAGACATGGGGGTAAATGGCAGTGAGAGCTCAGCCTTAATAAGCATCTGGTACTTTGATTTAATCTTCAAGTACCTCATCTGTAGCAGAGCACTGAAGTGTAAGCTTCAATCAGCCAGGTAATGTAAATCTCTAAGAAACAAGATTGTAACTGTAGGAAAGGATCAGCTGGCAATGAAAATATTAATTAATGCTGTTACACAGGGTTATGCTCTTAGGCTTGTCTAATTGCTTGCCTCTTCAAAATAGGAAATAAGGATTTTCCTGGCCTAGGCACAAGTGTCCAGAGCAGAAGAATTTTTCTGTGTGTGAGAGATGCCCTTAACTTGCTTCTGAGAGTCACTGCCTATCCTAGTTGGCAGCTTTCCAGTGATGTCCACTTAGCAAAAAGTAGAACTTTGAACAATTCCAAGTTCCAGTAGCAAAGCTTATGCAGTAGAACTCCACTGTGATTTTTGGATTGCCATGCAAATGAGTGTTTTGTTGGAAAGTGAGAGTAAAGTACACAAGAACTTGATATCCCTCCTACCATATGAAAGTTAGGAGAAGTAATAGGAAGTGCATAGATGTTGTGGGAAGGGTCAGGAACTATTTGTTATTTCTGATAGCTGATGATGAGTGGATACATGTCAAGGGAAAAAAAGATCCTCAAGAGTATTATTGTACTTGTAGGGAGAAAATATTCTCAAGGCTATTATTGTTTCCAGTAGTTAGAAATGTTGGTTTTCTTTCTTTATTATTTAGTTGACATTAAATAAGTTTTTTATTTTAGAACTTAAGAATATCCTTTGCCACCTTCCGAAACAAGCTCTTTGAAGAAAAGTAAATGCATTGTGCCCATCTCTCCTAGGGGCAACTGGACCTTCTCAGGAGCAATACAGGTCTCCTGTATAGAATCAAAGATTCTCAAAATGCGAGGTAAGCTTGTGTTTGCTGGATAAATATATTTGGAACACAATTCTGCAACTCATGCAGCATAGCTGAGAAGTCAGTCAGCAGTGTAATGTGGATTCTGTCACATGGATGTCGCAGAACATAACTGCTTGTTTCAGGAGGGTACATTTAACTCCCCTGAGCTCACCCTGAAATCTGTTTTAGGTATAGTGTTCTCTACTGAGCAGAAGGTACCATGGGACTACAGCTCTAACTTCCTAGCAGAGTTCCTGGTCTAAATGACAGCAAAGTGATCTCTGCAGACATATGTATGTATATGCTCAGGTGAAACCCAGCTGAAACCTGACCAAACCTTCTCCTAACTGGAGTTCTGTGAACTTCCTCACTGCTCGTGTTACACGATCAGCACTGATATTTACAGCTGTCCCAGGAGGCCACTTGAACTCATGCTCTTTGATTTATTAAAATGTACCTCCAAACCATGTCTTGCAATGGCTATGTAAACCTAAGTAAAAGATGCCTAGACATACTTCTGGAAGGAAATATGCTTCAAAATTATCCTTAGTGCAGGTGTATCATCCTTTCTTTCAAATGCTTTAGAAAAGGATTGCTGAATTTATGCTTTCTTGGACCAGTGAAAAGGCATGTTCTAGAGTTAGGAGCATTCTACTATCCTTCTGAAGATGTTCTGTCTAGAGACAGATTATCTTAAATTCTGTTTCGTGCTGTGTTTGACTTTCTGAAGTTGTGTTAGTATGTGACCCCAAGTTCCCCATTGTTATGACAAGTTGAGTGATTCTTGCTTAGTCACTTTTTTTCTTTCATATTCTTTCATTTTTCTTTCTCTTTTCTCTTTTCTGTGGCTTCTCACTGGCAAGCTTGACTTGATCCAGAGTGGTTTACTGTCATGTATTATATTTGCCAATGGCTGGCTTACTGTGTAGAGGTTTTTTTTGTGCATTGTTTTTTGGGTTTTATAGTACTTGTTTGTAGTTTTAAAAAAAATCTCCATTTTCTTTCAATTTTGGACCTTTCAAAAATCTTGATATGTCTTTTTTTACAGTAAAATGAAAGGCTCTGACAATCAAGAGAAGCTGGTTTACCAAATTATAGAAGATGCAGGCAACAAAGGTAGTTTAAATTATGATTGTGAATGGTACTAACTCTGTTTGCTTATGGAACCATTCCTATCCAAATTTGTAAATGCTTCCCATACAATACAAATATAAAATTTTGAGTCCCCATACCTGATCTGTAACTAATGTTTCATATATCTGCTTTTTTAAAAATGAAAGAGAAGGTGACATGTTTCTCTGTTAAAATAACCTGTCCTGGTTGACTTTTGGGAGGGGCTCTTTTAGAAGACTTGGAGTAAGAATTGCAAGTTATCTGTGGGACTGTCAAGCCAAAGTATCTGCAGAACACTCCCTACTTAAAAGAAAATGCAGAACCAGGATTTAACAGGTGTCCTGCTGGCAGAAATCACTGCTAATGACAGGGCTTTCTTAGCGTTCATTGCACACTGTGGTTGAGAGTCAGAAGGTAGAACTAGTTCTCGTATTTTTGTTGAAGCAAACACTAGTTAGTTACAAAGAAGTACTAGTCAGTAAGAGCGTTTCTGTGGTGCATTCATGTTGGCAGTGAATGGAGTTTGCTTGTAAGTGCTCTGGGAGGAGAGGTGAAGGGCAAGAGGACAGTATGGTGGTTGTGATATGTATGTCTTGCTTTTTTCACTTGTTTGTTTTGTCCAAATCCCCTCTGTCAGTTCCCTCCCTTCTGCTGGGAGTGATAGGGATCAAGGATACATCCTGTGGTAGGCAAGTGAGTTAAACAGTGTTG